TATAAAATAAAAACGTTTTTAGAATATTACGCAAACTTTTGAATAGTCATTCTCAAATGTGATAATAATTTTTGAATAATAATGTTTTTAAATACAAATATTTTAATATTTTAATTTTTGATATGTCGGAAAGCTTTTTTAAACAGATATATAATGATGATTTTCTTATATAATATTCAGGCATAATCTGCAAAACTTTTCACAGTTAATACTTTTAAATAAAAATTTTTTTAGAATGTAATAATAGTTTCTAAATAGTAATCTGTTAATATTAATTTTTGGAATATTATAGCAACTTTTAATATGGCAAGGGTTGTTTAATATAACACTTAAATAGGGGTTGACGTTTTGGTCTGATTTTAAATTCGATTGTTTAGTGTAATGCTATTTTTATCTATTATGTTACAAGAAAAGCTGTTAGATGATATTCCATTGGAATTTATTAGAACTTTTATCCACAATTAAAATTGTTTTTGTATCTGCTGTTAATGTTATAAGATAATAGCGACATAAAAAATATTCTATGGATATTAGTTAGAACTTTTAGCCCCAAATAAGATTTGTATAATTTTTACATCCCAGGTCAAATACGTACGGTGGGAAACAGTCTGATCCGGTGATTTTCCATCGAATTCCGAAAGCAGTATTTCGAAATGTTTTCCGGTCTCCGTTTCCAGGGTATTTCTCGCTAACTCTTGGTTTCGAAACCGATAAGCGGATACGGTTTCCGTTTACAGCAGGATTCCGGAGTACGTTTCCGATCGTTTCCTTTTGACGATTTGAAACGAAGGAATATTAATAGTTTCCGATCTAGATACGTAGCCAGGATCTGACCGTTTTTAATCCAGGTATGGAATGCGGATCGCTCCGTTCTATCAACCGGATCCGGCAAATAAGAACCATTCGATGCTTGCTTTTTCTAATTGAAAAAACTTTGTGAATTTCAAGGATAAATACATATGTCTTATTGGAAGTATGAATCTGCAGAATTACTGCTCAGAGTTGGCTTCAAATTGTTGAGTCTGTCACATAAAATCTTTACGATATAGTGTTAATCTAGCTAATTTTGATTGATATTACATATAACCTAATGTAATACCAATTACTTTTGACATAAACCCCATTAAAATTGGATTACCGACATGGAGTATGAATAGGATAATCACAGTTTAATTGGTCACATTTTTGTATGTGTTTACTCTATCTGCTATAAGATGGCTAGTAAAGGAGTCAAAATTTTATTTTTATTTTCTCACTGTATGTGTGTAACATTTTAATATTTTTAAACAATAGCTATCAGCAATTTATAAAACCTAGAGCGAATGACAGCATTTTTTTACATCGAAATAATTGCTCATATCTTTGATATTTGTGTCTAAATCGATTAACGCTTGATAATAGTTTGAGGTAGATCATCCTCTTATATAGCCATGCAGAAGTACAAATGGTTCATAGAGATAGATTAGAGAAATATTTCTGATTAACTATGGATTCGCAAGGAATCTATTATAAGAAATAAAAACTCTAAAAATGAAATAATTTCGTGCATCAACACCCTCAAATTGGATAATAACCTATGCAGAAACTTTAGAATAAGCATCAAGTGTAATGAATTATTTTATGTGCTAATGTTGAAGCTCGTTATCAACCTGTGCTGATCTGAATCGCTGATAATCAATTTTATATTAACAATGATTCCATCATGATTCAAATACATCAAAGTGATCGATTGATAGAGTTTGCGTTCTTCGATTATTTTTTAATAAAATGCCTTAACCGTACGAATAGCTTCATTTGAATATTGCTGAAATGCTGATTAACTTTACTGAGACTTTGTCTAATATTTTTAACTTTTAAAATGAAATACGAAGTCATTCAACGCGTACTCAATTAAAGTGGAACAAATTCATAAGATATTCAAATAGTATGAAGTTAGATTTTTAGCTACAGTGAGATTGAGATTTAGATTGATTTTAACCTAGTTTTCACAAATAAAAAAGCAACTGATGCGGTATAATCTTTAATAGACTTCGAATTCTAAAAAAAACAGTATTAACAATGTAATCGATTTGTAATTCATTAAAATTAATCGTGATCTTTTCTACTCCTCACTTTACTCAATGCATAATGTATGTCAAATACATGAATTTCATTTTAATTTGAGAAGAACAAACATATATAGTTTCACTTCCATTCTAAACTGATCTCATAGCAGACATCAATAAATGATGATTTTTTCTGTCGTTTCCTAGGATCCATTAGAACATTATCAAATAGCATTCCCATGGAAGCGATAGAGGTAGCTCCAATCTCTTTTGTCATATTATTCCAAATATAGAACTACTAAAAAGTATTTCGACGTCTGAGTAACAGAGAGTGTAAATTTTGTGAAACTTTTGTTAAGGAGTGGATAAGGGTTGATAAATTTCTTTTCTTGAGCATCTGTCTAAATACGTCTTTACGTCTATATCCAATCTGACTGGTTTGGAATATTTTACACATTTCTACGAGTTTCTAAGGATTTCGAAATACATTGAAAAATGTAGAAAAGCAGTTGAAATATTTCGAAACACAAAAATACATGTATGTTTTGTTCTCTTTTGGTTCTCACCTGCATGCATGTCATGCTGTTACGCATTAAAGCGCTATGCAAATCACCCTGTATGTAACCCACTGTATCTTGACTGAAATATTTTTTTCTATATATTCAAGCAATATGTTACCGAAAGTGAATTATCACTAGGAAATCTCTTAAGGGTATAACGAACTCGAAGCTCTCCAGATGTCTTTGCAATGATAATGAAGACTTTGAAGAACTTTCACCAGTATTCGAAAGACTTTTCAAAATTGCGTAAAATTTTTGTATCATTTTTCAAGACTTTTTATGATTTCTTTATATATCGTGATATTTCTACCTTTCGCTAACAGAAAGTATCAAAAACAGCTAGACTAATCAGATTACATAACGCGAATTATTCAGAAATAGATATCATTGGTACTATAAATTGAACAGCACACATCAACATAGCTAGTTTATTCTAGTCGTAACACTTTTAGTAGTAATACGGATCGAAAATCAACTAATATCACAATAAAAGTTCAACTAGCAGTAGTTATGTGTCCAGCCCATCATCATTATGGTATAAATCATTGGCAATACAGCTGCAAATACTTTGCCCGCTTACTAGATGAGTTACATGTGAGAATTTTGCACATCTTTCAAATCAATCTCAAAGGAAGATCTTGTGAGATATTTCAAGAAAGATTGAAAAAAGTTCAAATCGTTCGAATTGACGTAAGGCTATATTTATTCCACACCCATATTCAGAGTAGACTCATTCATAGGGAAACAAATATGATAAAAGACTCTATAATTAAAATGTCCTATTTGTGTCTCACTCAGAGCTTATAAAATCATTCTATAACAGATAAGCAAAATAAACGAAAATCCGGTTACTTGCGCAGCATTTTAAATTGCTGTCTTACTATTTAATATTCGTTGACTGCGGAGTACTAAATTCATATATATGACTCGCTGATTAGGAAATTGGACTCTTCTTTGAAAAAATTAAAATAGTTTTATTAGACGTACTGCTCGAGACAAACATCTTTCCCAATTCATAACTAAAAGTAAAGTGAAAAATCTTAGCCCACTTCGCAATTCAGAACAAAGACGGTAATGAGGGTTCAACTTGCGCGTTTATCTACGTCCTTTCACAAACAAACAAGGATCATATATTTATTGCTAAGCACTAATATATCCTCTTCCAAATTGACTCTAAACCGAAAAATACATTTGATCGCATACATAAAGACCGAAAGACCGAAAGACTGAAGTATATGTGATCTCCTTCTAAGAAACATCGGTGATAGATCTTCGATCGAATAATCGATGTGTATTTCAACTAATTACATGCTCACGTAGCAGTTCACCACATCAGAACACTGACGANAAAGGTATCTAAGGATCTCATTCACACTGTTTGAAATTAAAACATCTGAAAAATAACTTCTAAGTCAATATCTTCCATTGAAGATATTTCAGACTCCGATTCATTGCATTTCATATAAAAGGATCCTTAAAGATCCTTCTTGTTCAATAACACTTATTTCAGGCCTCGTCATTCACCAAGAAAGTCCTTTGACGATTCTTCTATTTCCAAAAACAATATCAATAAGACTCCAAAAACGTCACATACGAGGGATTGACTGAAAAGGATCTTTAAGGATCCTTGTCGATAAAAGTGAATGAATGCTGCTTTCGCATACCTTAAATGGAAGGTAAAGGATTAAAAAGACCTTTCAGAGTCTCTCCCAGTTGATTTCGAGGAAGAAGTTTTCGAAATAGCTGAAGTCTTCAGTGGTGAGCTCTGGATCGCTTCGGGTGTGGTATGATTGAGCGGATGATCGCGAAGCGGTGCGGGAGGGTTTTGACATTAGTGAAGGTGGCTGGTAATTTAGTTTCTTGGTGGTGCGACTGTCAAGGATGAGTAGGTGCTATGGTGTCGGGAAACCTACGCAAGATCTCAGGAAGATTTAAACTTCCGGAATTTTCCTAGCTGGAACCGGTCGGATTTCGTTAGTTCCGTCGCGTGTTCCGCTTGTATTCCTGATGATCACGGGTCGGCTCTGGGAATTTTTCCCAATGGTTACGGTCGCGGGAACACTACGGAATACTCAGGTTACAATACGGTGATTTCCAAACGGAATACTGCTGCCACCTTCCGGATAGTTTTCCGGTCCATTTCCGGTTGGAAAGCATTTTTAAATCCTCGGAAGTGTCGGGAACTAACGCTGTTTCCTGCCGGTTCCAATTGGTTCCCAAGTCCGGAATCATCGACCTGGGCGTATACGTATTACGGTCCATCACTAATCTTCGTCCCATTTAAACAGAGAAACAATGCAACGTTTGTACCTGACGGCATCGGTCAAATAGAAAAGGTTGGATATATATATATATATAGATGTATATGACGGAAAAAAAGCAGGTGAAGATAAAAATGAATAATTTTTCTATTCGATTGATCGATTTGCCAGACGAATTAATTTTGATTATATTTAAGAAACTGAACAATGTTGAATTACTTTACTCATTAATGAATATCGACAGACAACTCGATAGAATTTTGTATGATTCAATATTTACCGATTGTTTAACATTAACAAGAAGTTCATTTAATGGCCATATCAATTCATTAGACAATCAAATATTGGATCGACTGTGTCGAGACATATTACCTAAAATTCATCATAAAATCCAATGTCTAACTGTTGAATCATTATCTATGGAACGTATTCTTCTTATTGGTGATTATCCCACCTTACATAAACTTTGTCTAGCCAGTATGGAAGAGGAGAAACTCCGACATCTATTTAATGGTAACCTATTTAACTTCAATAAAAATATTAGAGAATAATAATAAGAATGTATTTTTCAAAGTTTTTGTTTCATGTAATCACATTTTCTTTATTTTTTTAAGAGGAAAATTCATTACTCAAAAAATTTCAACATCTTTCAACATTTCATTTTTCTGTTTTTAATAAATCAGTACGTGTTAGCTATGATTTGACACGTTTTGTCTTTAAAAATATGTTTAAAACATTTCCTCGATTAATTAATTTGCAATTTCATCAATTATTCAATAATGATTGTTTCGAACTATCATTTGGTAAAGAAATTTCAATATTTTCTTCTTGTTTTCTACTGGAATTGCATATAACTGTGTGCACATCGACCGATTTTCTATGTTTACTTGATGGACGTTTCAATGCACTTCGTCATTTTTATGTATATGTTCGACATTTTTTTCTTCCGTCTCCTGACGTTGACATGAAAGTAAGGAAGACATTCATATGTTAAATAATTAAAAAGATTTTTTTCTAGAAAAAGCTTAATAAAATGAAACGTTTTTCATTGACCAGTAATAATAGCACATTCTTTTATAATCAAACAATTTTACCACTTCTGCATCGAATGTCAAATTTGAAAATGCTTACTTTAAATATAATAATTGAGGAGAAAAAATTTGTTGATGGAAATTGTTTGAATAATGATATTATTAATCATTTGCCAAAATTAAATCATTTCATATTCAATATTCAATCAAGAATATATGATTATAATCAAACTGATATTCGATCAAATGAAGATATTCAAAATACATTTAAAAGTTTTCAAAATCATAAAATAAATTCTTATGTTGATTATTTTCCAGAAGAAAACTTCGGTCAATGTCATTATTATTCGTATCCATATACGATGAAAAATTATGGCAATATAAGCAATCATTTTTCAGACGGTTTATTCACATGTGTCACTAAAATATCATTATTTGACGAGCGTCCTTTTCAACATGAATTTTTTCTTAAAATTTCTCAATCATTTCCATTCCTTGAAGAACTAACTATTAACAATCTTCAATCACAAAATAAAAAATCTGATGATGACAATAACGAACATCTACCAATAATTAAATATCCTCATCTGACAAAATTATATCTTATTAATGCTCATGATGATTATATTGAACAATTCCTTTTACATTCAAAATCGGTTTTAACAAATTATATTTCTTTATCGGTTAGATATTATACTCTTTATACAGTAACTAATGATTTCACAAGAGAAGAAACTAAAATTAATTCAGCGAAAATTAAACATTTTTTTCTAGCTGGTCGAACCATTTTTTCAAAAGACTTTCGTGAATATTTTCCTAATTTAAAATGTAATTATTATTAAGTCACATAAAATAAAAACAATTGAAACTTATACTAAATTTTCAAGAATGAAGCGATACTATTGCAGCAAAAAAAATTTTTCTTCATTAAGATCCCCCGCCACCCCTCAAAAGTCTATTTCAGCTTAGGAACGTCCAAATTAGATGAAACTTTCAGGATATGTTGGGGCTAGAAACTGGGTGTGGGTGTGACTAAGGCTAAGGCTAAGTTGTTCTTTGTTCACCAAAGTAGTCCGACACCCACACCCATTTCCACGAGCTTTTCAGCAAATTAGTGTCAATAATCGCTCAATTCATAAGCTAGAATTCTCTGTGAGTCTCCATTAGAACCAATTTGCTCATTTTTTACTTGGTAGTAGGAGCTTAAACAGAGTCAGCATTTTCATACGTTTTAAATTGTTTTAGAAAGAACTGGAGTTTCAACCCCATAAATTGTAACGGAGTATCTATTTACTGTTCGAATTACTTTATTTGATTAGGTATTGTGTATCATCATGAGTATATCTTTTTCTCTTTCGAAACTATTCGAAGCCTCAAGACTCACTTTTTCTTTCTTTCGAATCATTAGAATTGCTTGTAGCTTGTTCGTCGCTAATGAAAGTCATCAAGTTGTCAATATTCGAATTCTGAATATTTATGTCGTTTTAGCATAATCTGTTGTCCATTACACTCAATTTTTGATACTATTTTCATGTGCGACAGAAGCTTTGTTCAATGATTTGTTTTGTTTTTTGGCGCTTACGTTCTATTCGCGTAACGAATACTGAGTGCCTGTATTTCATTTACATGCTCGATACGAACACAAAAAACAATTTTCCACGCTCATTCGCCTGTACATCAGTTGCATGCAAAGAAATATAATACAAAATACACATGTAAAAAAGAAGAAACCGAGGGTGGTCATAACTCATTGTGTGGTATTGCACCATAGGAGAGTGTCAGTGGGTTACTTGCGTAAGTAAATATAGATTCCAAACAGAATACGACGCATTTCTAAACAGTGCGGGTGTCATTGTCTTCCAAAAACCACAGCAAAGCTACATCTAGGCTCATTCAAATCTAAAATAAAACGTTTTTTTTTACATGATTCAAAGTCATATTGTGCCACCATTCATGTGTTAGCTGGCTTGCAAAGTCTTATTTTGACGACTGTCTTGATAATTGTCATAAAATACAAAATAAATCCCATAAAAAATAGAAGCATACAGAGATTGAAATTAAAATTTGTTTGACGATAAAAATTAGATTTGTCAAATAATCTTTATCGATATCATATATTACAATTTTTTTACAGCAGAAATTTTATGAATACGATGGCGATAATGAAATAATTCTTATATCATTTTTTTAAGTAATCATTTAATATTGATTAGTTTGGAAAAAAGTGGCATTCATTTTTCTGCAATATTCTTCTAAATTTAATATTACCCACCAAAATAAATTTCATGAAACAGCATATCAACGCATCGTTTTCTGCATAACGCATTCAAACGCAACGCTTTATGTATGTAACTCATTGAGATGCATTCGCTTTTGACTGTGAGTGTGATCATAGTTGAAATAAGAAGCCACACCCACAAGATTTTTATAACTGTTTTAGTCTGATGAAAAGAAGGTAAATTATTGATTTACTGTCAATATTGAACTAATTGATGCATATGAGACAATCACTGTAAACTCATATAAAGTCACTTTTATAGACATTTATTTAAAGCTTTTGGCTCATGCGAAGATCCATGAAGCTCAATAATTTGACCTGTATCAATTGGTATAAGTCCCTATCAAGATGGCAATCCGAACTGATTTCACTATAAAATTGACATAAAAAACGTTTTTGTTAAAAGAAAACTAAAGCTATAAACGAGTTAAAAGCATGATGAATCAATGTAATCATGTGTCAATATCGTTTGATGTGATCTTCACAAAAAGAGGAAAATCATCTAGAGTAGTAGAAATATTATAACGTTGACCACCTTTGTAAAATTGTTTTGTATAGTAATGTTGCCAGGTGGAATTCTGTTGATTGATTGAAGGTAAATAAACTGAACGTGATGTGGCTCGATATGTATAAACAGGAGCAACTAAATAATCTGATCCAAACATATACTGATCTTCAGATTTATAACATTCAATATCATTGTTAAAATCGTAAAACATTGGTCGTAGAATAGGTGTTCCATTTTGAGTTGAAATATTTAAATGATATTCAATATAACTACGTAAAGATTCACGCATTTGAATTATATCAATAATTTGCCTACTATAATTAAATAACCATACTTCATTGTGACCACCAGAAGATCCGCATTCATTGTCTGGCAAAGGTGGATAGCGATAACCATGTAAACGAAATAGTGGGCAGAACGCTCCAAATTGAAACCATCTCAATATTAATTCTTGAAATTCATTATCATCTAAACCAACAGGATGATAACCGCCAATATCTGTTGTCCACCAATAAATTCCAGATAATGCAACATTTTGTGCTACTTTAATTTGTTTTAACAATTCTTCCCACGACGAATCAATATCACCGCTCCAAACTGCTACGTTCATCGAGTGACTGCCTATCCATGCTTGTCTACTTAGCATAATTATTTCTTGCTCCTTTTCTTCTCTTAGTCCATCCCAGAATAACCGTTGATGTTCTCTTGCCCATACCATTGCAATTTCATCATCGTGCCGGCCATACCACCATTGTAATTCGGGTCGAGTATTTTGTGGTTCATCAGCATCTAACCAATAAGTTTTGATATCGTATGCGAAATAATTCTCTTTGATTCTATTCCATATGTATTGTCGTGTAGCTGGATTAAATTGATCGGGAATATAATAATAAAAATGATTAGTTAGACCAGTTGTTGGTAAGAGACTTCCATTAGCATCATGAGTCAACAAACCTGTTGTATTCATAGTTATAAAATTTTCAGAGTTTTCTGCTACATGAGGCCAAACAGATACCATTAATTTCATTCCGTACGATTTTAATTCACTCATCATTTCTGGTATATTTGGCCAACATGTGCTATTGAATTTCCAATCGCCAAATGCTGTCCAATGAAAGTAGTCGATGACAATAACGCTTACTGGTATTTGTCGATCATAATAACCTTTTGCCACGTCTAATAATTCATTTTGTGTTCGATAACGATTTTTACAATGCCAAAAACCTGAAGCAAAGTGTGGTAACGGATTCGGATGACCAACAACGTCAACATAATTTTTCATAAGAACAGGATAAAATGATGAAGAAAGAGTTGCCTCTTTCGGTATTGTAGTAATCCACAAATCAAGTTGATGTGTAGCATTTGCAGTCCACATTATTTCTGTGTCATTGCGAACATCAAATGAACCATAACCAGGTTGGTTCCAAAGAAATCCAAAACCTGATGTATGTAAATACCACGGAATTGTTATATCGCCGTTTGTTGGTGCAGTTGATGAAAAAACAAATGGCAAATGAAAATTATGATATGGCAATGTTATATTGTTACCATAATGATGCTGTCCTAAACCATATAGATATCCATGTTGAACATGAGTATAAATCGATGATAATTCGTAAAGAGTATAAACAGGCGAATAAACAGAGACTGGGTAATTGTATGGCAAAAATCTAGTTGACTGTACTTGAATGAGAATGAGCCCATCTGATGGGCGTTGAATTGACCACGTTTCAGTATCATCGTTGATAATAAATTCAATGTTACCATTAATAAATGTATTCCTATTTGGTTGTTGACAATTGTCTTTCCCTAGAATTGGTTTTTCTGGAAGTAACGCTTGATAATCTGGCGTCTGTATAATTACATCTGGACTAAGACGTATGCGAATGCTATCAGAACCCCATGATTCTACTTGTAATTGTTGTTTTAGACCATTCGAATATATATTGGTGGTAAATAGGCAGGGTGATGCAACACAACATGGAATCAACTGAAAGATGAATAGAATAATAAATTGACAAGAATATTTATATATGATCGATATCAGCATGGCGAGTTGATTGTACTAAATAAAAATAGTAAAAAGACGTGGTTAAATAAAAAGTTCTATATCAAGGAAAAAGAAAAAAGTTACAGATCGCTAGCCTTTCACACGTTAGACATATTATCATCAATTTATCATTCTCTCGCTTACCATTCAGTCTCGCGAGTCAAAACGCATCCTAATGAACATACAAATAGAGTAGTCATTTCTACTCATAGCTATGAGCAACTACTATGAGTGGAAATGACTACTCTATTTTATCTTCGTTTACACGCATTTACAGTAGTATGTGACTGACTAGGTTATCGATAATTCTTTCTCTTTTATTTTCTCTTCACGTATACCAATATTTAATTATATTGTACACATGATCTCTTACTTTCAATTGTAGCGTATTTTCACTTTATACAAGTGGCCCAAATAAACGTTTGTCTTCTTACAATATTCTTTCAACAACACATAAAACGCGGGAAAACTTACTATTTGGATAATCTTTTTGCAAACATTCCAGTGTAACTATTTACACATAATAAATTTCTTAGATATGAAATCTTTTTTGAAGAGCCTAATTGTTATTATGAGTTATTCGAATATTGTTTTAGATGAGCGAAGATATGAAAATAAGAAATTAACTATTTGAGTATGATACAGAGATGCAAGTTCGGCATTTCTCTATCGAATGTAAATATTAAAAAAATGATTTCATCCTATGTCATATTATACAGGAAAAACTACACAGTGAGCTTATGCCAATTAACTTATAAATCTTCTACTATATATACCTCACCATTTACTAAAACATTCTCATCAGGCACTTTTTCATATTTTAATCACTCATGAATATAAAAACTTGTTTTTTTTACTTGAGTCATTCATATAAGTGAAATTCGAGATATAAAATAATCAATCTCATTCAATATCTGGAGATTTCAATAGGTCAAAAGCAAATAAATTTTATTTGCTCAATCTATAACGAATCAGTTGCTATTGACAAGTTAAATAAATCTCCTTTAAGCAGAAAATCATGGACTACATTATTGTCCTCAGAGAATACTCACTTTAGTTTGTCGTCTCTAATTCATGGCCTTCGTTTATATGTTATCTGCTTACTAATGTTGCAAATAATTCTACACTGTCTGTTAGTGACAAACGCAGCCAACGAAAATGGTGCGTAAAGAACAAACTCTTGTTAGTCAAACGCAAAAAATTGAGAAGAACATATGCATACACCTTGACATGGGGAACATATGCCTGCAAAGATATCATCACCGAAAGAAAGTCTAAAACTCAAAGTTGTGTCAACATGTGACACTATCACAACGAGTAAACATATTCTAGTATTCGTAATACTAACGAAAGATCGAGAAGAGATTTGATGATGATTTTTTAGTAATTGACAAAAGAGAACGGGATGTTTTAATTTTAAGGAAATGATCATAGAAATTTAGAAAACGGAATATAATATTGCTCTTTTCTAGTCTGCATATTTCAAAGCCTTTCTTGTAGAATATGGAATACCCTGTGAGATACTCTATAAAAAGTTAACGGCAAGTAGCCCTTGATCTTATATATACTTGTGATTCCAATGCATTTTATCAGTTTTAGTGTAAATCAATGTACTCAAAAAATTCCAAATTTTTATAGCACAAGTCATTCTTTGTTCCGTAATGAGGCTTTCTTCTGCACTAGAGCTGATGTACGCGTAGGTGTAGTTCTATTTCGCATAATATGATTCACTTTTATTTAACTAAAATTATGCTGAAGTATATATGTAAAATGCTTTAGTCAATGCAAAAAATATAATGCTACGAATAACTAATCATACACACAGATTTTTAAAATTTGTGGGTTGATCTAATTCTTTTAATTGCTGCTGTAACGTAGAATTTTCATCACGTAACATTGTATTTTGATTCATCAATACCATAATACCAACCTGGGTATGCGAATATCATTAGAAAACTCACTATAATAATGATGATCGCAGTTGTGTTGAATTACCTTTGCTTGATTCATATATAACAGGATGAAAATTTCCCATTATCTGTTACTTCTTAGACGATCGAAGAGCACTGCACAAATGGCTGAATAACAATGAATATATCTTCGAATAGTTACTATAGATGAGAGTATTTTATGTAGGAATATTCATATTTATCACGGGAATTCATACAACACGCTTAAATATTTACGCTCTCTCCTAAAACGGCTCTAGAAAAGCTAGTGATAAGATACGAACATCACTAGAGCACTAATCCCGTCAATATGTCAAAAAGTTAAGTAAATCGACTAGATGCCTTAACCTTAGTACACAATGCTTGGATTAGTCCAATTACCACTGGAAAAGGAATGACATATGAAAACTGACTTTGTTTTGTACATTTCGATATACTGATTCGTATTACTTATTTTCGATACTCGAAGCTGTTTACATCATATACATGAATGACATTTATGAGATGAATTTTTTTAAGAAAAGGACGCTAGGCGAAAATAACAAAACACAAGTTGGTTCACAATAAAATAAAAATATTATCGTATATTTACTATAAGCCTTTAACTGCAGTCTATTCTAATACTAGAAGTTTCATAGAAAAAAAGAATCTCAAACTGTAAAAAGAACGTAGAATAAACCCTTGCAAAGGGTTTCTGAAAACTTTCTCCGATTCAAAATGCATATCATTCATTTTGATTGATCGTTGAAGTACATCTAAACAAAAATAAAATTAATTTTATTAATAACTACTTTCGAATAAGTTGTTCAACGAAATCTATACGAAACGCTAAATAAAATATTTCTAGAGAGAACAATAAGAAAAGAAACAATGTCTGTAATTAGTTTGTAATAAAATGAAATTAATCGAAAAAATAAACTATAGTTTTGAACGTTTTCTGTGTTTGATTCCATATCGTTGCAAGATGAAAAAAACTAATATGCTTATTCGAATATACTATTTTATAAATGTAACGATGATGATGATGACAGTAAAGATAAAAGTTGAAATTATTCGTAATTAATTTTATTATAGTGCTTGGGAGTTTGCATATATTATGGTACTCACTAAGAAACGAAAATACTGAATTCAATTTTCAAAAACTTAATTTATTGTTATGCCGAATCTGAATCTTCATTGCAGTATTTTTTGAGATAATCAGTATTTAATCAAAAGCGATAATGGTTGATACTGACACCAGAATTCTTGTTGAAAATTATCCGAAAGAATCATATTAGCTATTCGAGTCGATTTAGAGCAATCGAACTTCGTGATGGCTGACGATGCGCCATTGATTTAAGAGTTTAATTTATACGTTCCAAAAATTAACTAGCTATATTTGATGAATTTTCATCATCAACCTGATCCGCGACGTAAGAAATCATTTTTAAAATTACCGAGTGACCGGATTTTCGAGCGACGGTGAAATGAAATAATCTTACCAGAACTAGGCCTGGGCATTGTGGACTAGTTGATCTTTGCGCATGCAACTGTGTGTATTTTCGATCTAACTATATAGAATTGGAAACTCTGTATTGAAAATTTCAAATAATCGGGGTTTAAACGAAGAGTAAGCTTTGCTTTGTTGTAGACTAGTAAACCTTTCCTGATTAATTAATCTACAATATATTTTACTATACCGAGCTTATTCTTTCTATGATGCACTCCTAATGAAATCCTTGAAGAATTAACAAAATCCCTACAATTGTTTTAAAAGTCGGTGTGTTCTTTTCACATGCAAAGCGTTGTTATTTTACAATTGATTATTATAGTGAACAACAATCTAGATTAAACGATGTTATGGTAAATTCTTCTGCTGAAACCGGAGAATAATTAAACCGAAGCTGTAAAGAATGTTGCTTGAATCGTACAATAATCGATCCCTGATTGTTGAACATAAACTGCTTTGGTAAATACATCAATTAATCAAGGGGGGGAAAACTGAATTTTTGATTGCCCAGATTGGTTTGATTGGCAATGATTAATCAAAGATTGTCGATGATTGCCAATGATTGATTTGATAACAATCAACCCCCCCCCCCTTGAAATTAATTTATATCTATCCGCTTAATATAACCCCTTCGATTCATGTACCACTCAAAGGATATATGTCGTCCGCCTAAACCGTTCAACAGTTTATAGAAAAAAACACTGAAGGACAAGCAATTATTATTCTGCGTTTTAATTTATAGTATGGTATTTGCTGAGTGTGAGCAAATCCGATAGTTATATTACACCAACAACCAAAAGGGACACATATTTGACAGAATCGCTTTTCCTGTGCTCTCTCATTTCGCATTCTTCTATTTCAAGATAGATTATCACAAAGTAGCAATTCAACATCCACACACAGTAAATTTTAACAATGATTAATGAAAAAGATTCGTCAGTTAGACCATTTATGTAGGCAGCTTCGTTTGTGTCCTATCAATCAAGGAGTATTCATTTTACTGCGAAGCCAAGTAAGATAGGCACTAGTACGAGTGTAAATTCCCGGGTATTTTGCCGCACCGCAACCATCTCCAAAACTGACCACACCAGAAAGATACCACTGATTATTCGCATTGTACATCAAAGGACCACCACTATCACCTTGACAACTATCTTTTCCGCCAATATTCGGAATACCGGCACCGATCTGCTGTCTCACATCGAATGAATTTCTGTAGGCTTGTTGTGCTTGATTATTCATCACATTAACAGTGACTTGACGTAGCGAACTGGCGCTATTTCCATTTTCCGATAGAACACCCCAGCCAGCCACTGTGACACGTTCAGATTCTTGAGGATCGGGCCCAGGTAAACAAATTGCACCAACATAGTCATTGAATTGTGCTGGCTGCGCCAGACGGACCAATGCAATATCGTTGGCTTCAGTTTTTTTATTATATTGTTCATGGACAAAGACACGTTGAACACCGAGGATTTGTGAGCGTGGGCCGTTTATATTGGTTCGTTGATGTAAACCAGCAATGACTCGAAAATTCGTCGAATCTATGCAATGTGCCGCCGTAACCACATGTCGATTATCAATCAATGTACCACCACAAAAATGATCACGTGACTGTAAAGAAACAATCCATGGCCAAGAATGTGCAACGGCTTCCGTACCACCAACAATGCGTTGATACGATGGAGTAATGACCTGTCGACCACAGGTATTTGCTATTGTCGGTCTTGTCGTGCTAATTACTGGTGGAATCGTCTGTATCGTCGGTTTTCCAATACTGCTTGTAGGACAACAATAGCGAACTTTGTAATCAGCGCATAACTTTGTTTTGAAATCGGTGACCATTTGATTCAAACACATGAATCCGTCATCTTTGGTGAGTCGAATGACGTCACCAGTTTGTGTTGGACTTCCATCGGTTACTGTTTGAGCCTAGAAGAAAAACTTTTAGCATAATTTCTATGGGATAAGTTATGAACAGGATAGTACTGTTCATTGTAAAATGGCAGGTTTTTAGAACAAACCGATGATAACGAGAGAGTGAAGCCATTGCTCAGCGTTCTAACTATGCAATTTAGTACTTATTTTCAAACACATTTTTCAAAAAAAAGAGGATTAAACGAGTGTGATATTGAACTTACTTCGATAGCGATCGGATCAGGACACATGAAACCGGGAAACAGTTGTTGAATATGCTTGGTTATTTCGTGTTCACCTTGAGTGAAATTCGGATCAGATGAATCAAACCAAGTCGTCCATTCATTATTGTTCGTACAACTATTCTGAGTAAACGATGCTGGATCGAACATGGTTTGCGCCATTAAACCGTTGAGCAAAATAAATAGAATAATTCCTTGAACAAGCATCGTACTTAGTCCAAGTAAAAATTGTAAGGCTCGTGACTTGAGAATAAACGAAACGATGTATAAAACTTCCGACTTTTATAAGAATCTTACTAAGCTTATCAATAAAGCTGATGCTTTATATTTTTGTAAGTGTCACTGAAACTTGACTCAATGATTAAAAATAAATATTTGCTTTTTCTCTCAAATTTTGATATGAAGTAGCAGATAAATAGTGCGAAATCGAATCCAAAGCAAAATAAGCGTTTCATGTGTAAGTGCATTCTAAAGCTTTAAGAAAACAAAAGAGAGTTTGTACCCATTACAGCAGTATGGTGTTAAATTTAAGTTTTGATCTGATAAGAAACGATGAATTTGAAGTGTTTTTTTTAAGACTCCTTATAGTATTTTACTGAAAGATCATCATTGCAACGACAATCAACAGATTGAATTTTATGAAGCAAGTCTCCATAGCCTATCAGCAAACGACAATAAGCTTTATTGAAATGAAACTATCACATTACTAAAGCAATGAAAATATACACTCACACATAAGGATGCGAATCTGGGTAATGAATATATATTTAATCATCATCCTGCTATGAGTCATTATATGTGAGGTAACAGCTAAATTCATTCAAATATAATGAACCCAGCAACCAAGTACAAAGAGAGACTTGAAATAAAAATTACTTAACTTCATCGAGCACCAATCAACAATAAAAAAATCAATTTGTTTTTGCTGCTTTCGTTGTGAATGACAAAAAAAATTCACAATGATTGTATATTGTATGTGTTTCCGTTGAAGAATATAACTATCCTATTTTTAAAGAATCATTGGCGAAAAGTATTACTATAGGAAAGATCCATTTAAAAAATTTTCTTTACTCTTATGTCTTTAATAAAACCTTTTCTCTGTGCAAAGATTGAAAGCAACAAGTAATGCTAGTTTTCTTGATGATTTTGCGTTAAAAATATTTTTTATAATAAAAGTCTAAAGGAAACTTTGAAATATTGCGAACGAAAATTTCGAAGAGTCAAAATATGTATCCTTTTTATTGATCACTACAATCCAAATTTGCTCAATTTGAGAAAAAAAATACAACGAAAATGCACTTGTCACAGAAAGTGTCTTTACAAGAAGTTCATCTTTCCAGATATTTCTTCGTTGCTTTGTTGATATACAGACAAGGTATTTGAAGGAATGATGATTAGAAGAGTCCAACATGGATTCATTTTAATGATCGGTTATATGGTAAAAAAAGTAGAAATTTTTATGAAAAGTCTTTATTTGAAATCAATTTTCAATACAACATTTAATAGCTTCCGGTTTACAAAAACCTAATTGATAAATGAAAAATTCCAATGCATTCACCATTATCTACGTTGAGTTTTTCTAATTAGATCTTAAGATTTGTATTTACTATTTTTGTGAGTTTCATAGAACAGAAAAAAAATTAACAAGCGTTTTATACTGAGCCTTTGCATTTGCAGTACCTTATAATAACATGATGTAATCAAGGAGTAAAAATAATTGACTACTCGCCAATTTACTTCATCCTACAGTTAATAGTTCCAACTACATTTGCATTTCGACTTTAATTTATGTATGATGATACTTCTTTTTTTTATAACTACATACAATATTTATTTTAAGCGAGCGGAAGATCATTAAAATCCTCTAAATATTTTTCACTTACAATAACAAATGACAAAATTTTATACTTTCATTTAATAAAAAAAGAAATATTGATAGGCGAAAAGAACCAAGAATAGATATAATACAGACAAAATGTGTTCTATTCTCAATGATTATTAGGTATGTGTGAGTTTTCCAACGATCTTAGAATGATCTAACTATTTTTTTCAACGACATTGTTTTTAGGCTGACAATTAATTACATACTATTTTGTTTTTGCATCGTTTTGGGTACGCCACTCCTATTTGATAATATTGATAGAGTGGTAGCTCAAATATGCTAGGATGCGCTACAATATGATTTATGCTCATCAAAGGTATCATGTTATTGTCCTATTCTAGCGTCTAATGGCAATATCAGGAGAATACATCCTATTCCGCAATGTTGAACATTTCGGAACCAATTCCATCTAATTCCAGCGAATCCGTTTATCACTTCCAACACAATTCTGGGAATCACTGCCTACCAATTACATCTAATTTCCGGAATTCCGTTTATTCCTTCCGACTCAATTTCGGAATTACAAGGAACTCCGTCTACTTCCAACCCATTCCGGGATTTAGTGCACCCGCACTGGCATCCATATCCACACCGACACCCACACCCACACCCTCAAGTCTAGTTGAGACAGAACGACTATTTTCCGTTTCATTTCTGCTGGAGAAAATCGAAAAAGTTTCTTAAGGGGGATGGCGATGGCCGGGTAGCCTAACTGGTAGATCTACCACTGGCCCAAGTTCCATTTACCCAATATTCGACATAGAATCTATGAAATACCAAAAGAACATGTTGTAAAAAAATCATGTTACGATGAATATCGATGTTCCCATGTATGCTCTCTTGAAGTATCAAGTTTCAATTACGTCGAGAGATATGTGATATGTTTTATTTTCGTTTGAAAGTGGAAATTTGAACTCAATTTAACTTTCTAATTTGACACTCACGAAATCTGTTCTCTATAAATAGCCAAAGAGGCATCAATGCCTTCACACACTTATTTAACATAATTATTGGTGAATTCACAAAAGTCGGGTAAAACGATTTTGAATTGCTTATTCTTGATATTGAAGGCGTAGCAGCCTGGAGAGATCACTGCACGGATATATATTTTAGTGTTACTTGGGACGTCGATGCTTGGGCTGGTGTAGCGTGTATGCGAATAGGAATATCGTATGAAAATGAATATTTTAATATCATGAATAAGTTACATCTTCTCAATTCCACTTTTCAGTCAGCATAATGTTAAACATCAGCAGCAAAAAAGTTGATTATCGCAAACAGTTTAGCAAAATTGCACATCAAGTTTCAAATAAAACGAACGCACTCACTGAAAACGTGAGAATTTCATCACTATCGCGTCGCTAAAGCCTTTCAGATTTCAACGGAATTCTTCCTTTTTGACAACCCCTTTTTCTTTAAGTCCACTAGAACGCAATCCATCCTTCAAAACAGAATGCGGATATTAATACTGTCTTCAACATTGACCGCAAGCATTCTACTTATGCTGCGATGAAAATCATAGATAACAAAGCCTAAAATTGATTCATGAATGATAGATCTTTTTCTATTAAACGAAAACATATTATAAGCCTTCATTACATAGGTCATATAAAAATAACTCGCCGCGAAATGTATCTAATCATTTATAGTTCGAATGAAAATAAAACAGATGCATAGCGTTTATTACGCTTGTGTTCATCCGTTATAACTAATTATAACAATATACACATTTCCCTGATAAGCCTATTTTAATGGTAATCATTGAGAATTAGTCTTCATGAGAAGTTCGAGCTTCAAGTAAGGATATTAATGGAACAGAAGTTGAAGGCATGGCAAACTCTGATGAACCATAAAAAGTAATTTTTAGTGGGTATTATATGTACATTTGGATGTTACAAATCAGTCACTCACAATGAGTATTTCTCAATCACTGTGCTCATGTATTTATTCAAATTCTAGAGTATTGAACTAATAAATCTTTATTGATAGAACGTTACAAGCCTACATCTGTACGATTACTTTTTTTGATTACAATCCATCAACAAGCAAAATGGAAAAAACACATTTCATTATATTACTCTTTGCACTACTGTTAAATTCATGCTGTTATACTTTAGCTGTTGAATCCGGTACTACCATGAAGACATTTAAATCTAGCCAAACACTCTTTACTAACCCAGAACGAGGGTGGATTGTGCACCGATTTTCCAACAATATGTGGGGACTTGACAATCTACGAAACAGCGCAGAAAAAGTCTCGCTAGTTCTTATCAAAATAGACATTTCCGCCTACCGCAATAGAAACAATATTGCACTAGAAAAACTGAATGAAATTCGTAATTCACTCGATAAATGTAGAACACAAGGATTAAAAGTAATCTTACGCTCGGCCTATGCCTGGGACTGGAATGAAGCGTTACCTCTACCAGACCCAGAAGATATTCAAACTATTACAAATCATGTCATCGATATGAAACCCATTTATAATGCATTCGAAGACATCATTATTGCTGTCGAGATGGGCATGTTTGGACCATGGGGTGAGATGCATTCATCAAAACATAGTACCGTCAATACTAAACCATTCTATCCAATACGAACTGATGCACTTAGACTCGTTCATAATGCTTACATGTCTGCACTGCCACAGACACATTCAGTACTTGTTCGTAGACCATCTTACATTCGTGAAATTTTTAACAATAGCGAGCCGATAAGGCCTAATGAGGCTTATGCCAACACGGGAAAAGCACGAACCGGCTACCACAACGATGCCTATCTTAACAGCAAAGATGATGCGGGTACCTTTGCACCCAATTGGTCCCGTGAGGATGAACTCGCCTATGTAAATAAAATGACATCTTTTACCTTTTTCGGCGGTGAAGCATTTGGCACTCCCAATAATGCATATAACAATGCCAATAACGCATTAAAAGAATCTAAACAGCAACACATGACATATCTGCATCGGGATTACGAGCCAGAAATCTATGATGCCTGGGGTAGTTTGGTTAAACAAGAGTTCACACGTAAACTAGGCTATCGGTTTGAATTAAAGGAACTTGCGTATTCCCGAGAAGTAACACCCTGTGGTGTATTGTATTTCATTCTCAAGCTGGAAAATACAGGCTTTGCAGCAATGCATCTAAAAAGGCCTGTAAATTTGATACTTGTTAATGGGAAGAGAGGCAATGAACAAAAGACGTACGAAACTACACTTAGTGTAGATCCTCGTATTTGGACACCGGAGAGTGGCATAATTACTATTAATCGCAACCTTCGAATTCCCGGCAGTATCACCGAAGGTATCTGGCAACTCTTTTTATCGATGCCTGATATCAGTGAAAGGTTGAAACACAACCCACATTATGCAGTTCGATTCGCTAATGAGGATGTCTGGACTGATGACGGCAGAAACATGTTAATAGAGGAACTTAATATTGTGGCTTCTCCTTCAGGTTCATGCGCTGATGATCAATATTTTCAAGAGATTCCTATCAATTCTGCATCGTTGATCACTCAGTTGAGCGCCATGAAAACAGTACAATCGTTAATACTTTCAGCTACGTATAGTAAAAACTATATTTTTTATCAAGTGTTCATTGATGCAGACAATAATTCTACGACGGGCTATCATGTGCAAGGAATAGGCGCAGAGGTGCTCGTTGAAAATAATGCTTTCTACCATCACAAAGGAAAAACTGGAACTAATTGGGAATGGGAGCTCGTCGACGGAAACATTATGCCTTCAAATTATGGCTACAAATATCTTTGGCAATTACCGATACTTCACTTGAAGTTGCCCATTATGGCATACAGTCAAGTAGTTTTTGCAGGTACCATTGACGACAAAACCGACTATTCTTCAATAATATCGGTGACAGTCGCTTAATTATATACACGACGCGTAATGAACTCTGCAATGTTCACATATTATTGCTATACGCATAAGAATAATCCGCTAAAGTTATTTTTGGTATTGAAATCCACCTTCCTACTTATGCTCGATATTGACATCAGCTCTCATTGATCTTCTTTTCATTTTATTCCTTTCTTGTCAATCTATTGGGTTTTTCATGGGCTTATACTTATATTTCTATCTTAGTGTTGTGTGTGGAATAGTCGCATTCTGGGACATGAAGTAACTAAATAAATATTAGTGCAAGGGTTGTGGTCAGCGATTTCTCCATTGTGTCGTTACAATATATTGTTATCTGTAAAAAATGTTGTGAATGTTTTTCTGTAGGTGTTGGTGGGTGGGTGTGTGATTATTATGAGAAGATCAAATCAGAGAGTCACACCCACGCCCACACCCTAATTTAATGTGGGTGTGGGTGTCAGATAGTGTGTCACTACCATTCTTGTCCATCCACACCCTAGCGGCGTAACCAGGATTTTAANTAAATTCAATAAGACGATGCATTCGGCGAGGATCTAAATCTTCCTTAAATATAAATATAAATCATAAATATATAGGCAGGAAAACTGTTAGTGAAACTAACCATTCCAAATTTAAAACATGCACTCCAATAGGATAAAGTTTCAGGACTTAGATTTGCACAGACTTCATTACGAAATGGAATCAATTTTTGTCATAATTCTTCAAGCTAGAATAAATCGAATGATATTTTTTTCTCATAAGCTTATTTTCTTAAAACAAACCATTTCTAATGTCCAATATTTTGAGCCACTACCACACCCACACCCACACCCATATGATTATTGAAGACGAAGGATATGAAATTAATTTTAATCTTCATCGTTTTCGAATGTTTAAAGTAATGAATCATTTTTTTTAGGGTGAATCTGAAAAATAAAAATATGAACATTTTTTAAGGGTCTTGTTCGAGATTTTGGTTTGGATTTACTTGATCGTTTCATGGAACAATAAAATATCCTAATGCATGAACAAGCCAAAGAAAAACAAGAAGGTTGTCATCGTGTAGCAGTTGAAATTGTTGCCGGAATGATTCGTGGCTCAAAATATTGGACATTAGAAATGGTTTGTTTTAAGAAAATAAGCTTATGAGAAAAAAATATCATTCGATTTATTCTAGCTTGAAGAATTATGACAAAAATTGATTCCATTTCGTAATGAAGTCTGTGCAAATCTAAGTCCTGAAACTTTATCCTATTGGAGTGCATGTTTTAAATTTGGAATGGTTAGTTTCACTAACAGTTTTCCTGCCTATATATTTATGATTTATATTTATATTTAAGGAAGATTTAGATCCTCGCCGAATGCATCGTCTTATTGAATTTATTCGTACATTAATAAATGACGAAACTACAGTGAATACATTTCTTGAAACATCATGTTGGTTTTTAGTTTTAAAATTAACTAACTTCGAATGGCGTGTACCAGCTATATGGTGTGCCACTAATCAACATACGAAAGAAATGCTTGATCATCCATTCAAAGCTGTTCGAGAACATATTGCTAAGTAAAAAATCGAAAATTTATGAAATAAAGCATGTATTTCTCAATAGTGTTTTATCAGTATCACTTAGTTTCGATGTGAAATTATCTAATGGTCACTCGTCAAGTCATCGTGATGCAAATCGTTTTATTGATACTATTCTAGAACGGTTACATCACGCAATTGAAACTTATGAAAAAAATTCATTCGATAAATCTACAACATAGATCAAATACAGATATGAAATTCAGACAGTTTCCTTTCAGATGCATTTTTGTCTTGAGATATCAATTATCTAAGATTGCCTTAGTTCCACTGAGTCTACCGGTTAGATTTATTCCTTCGTAAGTCATCGGATTATTTTTACTGATAGATATTGAATTGTTCTAGCAAATATCTCTAGAGAAAAAGTGAAAGCTGATTAATAAGCTCGTAGATCTTTGAATTTTATTGAAACAGGTAATACAACAAAAACAACAAGGTAAAATTTTTACATTAAATTCTTTGAATTTTTATTCAGTCATTCAATTTCATACACGTATATTCATGTGGTTTTTACAACCAATGAAGAGTGCCATTATTCGAATCTTTTCATATGCATGTTCTCATTCAATATAGTTATATAGATTTCAAAGTATAAATATGTAGCTATCTATTTGTTTAGTTTGTGAATTAGAAAATATAGTTCCTAGTGAAAATTTAACAATCAGTCGNAAGAATTTGTAGCAGCCGCCGCTGAAGACATTACTCATTCAAATAACGAGCCGCTGGAAATCTTCAAAAATTGAAAACTGTTGCCCGCCGTCGCCGTTCAACCCTTCGGCTGACACCTCTAGTTATATAGATTTCAAAGTATAAATATGTAGCTATCTATTTGTTTAGTTTGTGAATTAGAAAATATAGTTCCTAGTGAAAATTTAACAATCAGTCGAATGTATGTGGCTATGACTTATTTACGTGCACCTTTTCTTGAATCGCTGAATGAACAATTACAACAGGTAAGATGCATATTGAACTGAAAAACGAAAAGTTGAAAATTATTCTTTTCCTAAATAAAGGTTTGCACCAGTTCGAAGTGGCATACGCGTCGCGTAGCGATGAAATTTGTACAACATACGATTTTTTGTAATCTCTTCAATGCTCGATTGTATCAAAAGCAATTACATGAACTTGTTTTTAAATGTTTATTCGATGAACAATTTGAGGTTCGTACAGTTGCATCAGTGACATTATCAGGCTTTTATCAATGTGGATATATTCAAGTTAATGAAGAAGATTTTGTCAATATTCAAGATTTTATTTTTTAAAAAGAAAACGAATATCTTATGAATTCTTGTAGAAATATTTTAGTCAAATGAGTAGAATAAATTATTTTACTAAAAAAAGCTGGAAAAAAAATTATCAAAACATAGAATATCATCAAATGGCATGGAAGCTCATTGAACGATTTCTTTTTGTAATAAATAATTGAATTTTTCTACTAGGAGTTCTTGGACTTTGTGAAATTGTTTTATCAAGTCCATATGATGATTCGTGGCATGAACATCGAGAAAACTCTACGGATGATCAACTTGTCATATTGGCCGATGTATTGATATCACCTACTTATTATGCATAATCGATCGTATGTGATGTGTTAACCTGAGTGAACTTCTCGTTAACCTATATGAATGTTTTCTTTGAAAATGATGCTATTGTTATTCTTTATTTATTTCTTTACTGTTATCTAGTCATAAAAACAAAATGATAAATAGTTAAATTCAATTTTGATAAGAGATCTTTGTTAACTTTATATTAAGTCAGAGTCTGTAAGTATTCTCAATAAATGCACTTAAATTTGCACAGCAACAATAACGATTATTCTGAATATTTCATCACCTGATGTTTTTCAATTGGTAACATGTGTTTATATGCCTTAACATAGTATGTTTAGCCAGCTTAGTATCAGAAGAAAAACCGTAATCTAATATTATCATAGCAAGCAACTGTCATCAAAATTTTATTTTTATGATTTGCGTCGAAGAAACGATTATAATTTAGATAAAAGAGTATAGTTGAATTTTCATTTTTTCGTTTATTTACACTTGAATTTGCTTTATTGAATGAATATCTTGTTTAGCAAGAGACACATGAACACCGGAATATATTTTACCCATTGAACGAAATAATGGTGCAACAATAGCATCACTTGTTGATTGAACGTACAGACCGATTTCACCAATAAATGATTGAGATAGTCGGCGCATGGGTGCAACAAGCCATATCATGGTAAATGCATAAACACCAAAGAAAATACCCCAACATACCATCAATGGCAAACCAATCAAAATGGCCAAAAGTCGATAGATACAAATTTTGCTGTAATGGTAAACTTGTTGTGATACTTTATGAAGTGCTTCGAAATTATACGCACTTGTGTCAGGTTCAGCGATTACATTAGCAAAATCAAGCTAAACGAAAAAAAATATATAATAACATTAGTTTATTTCTATTTTTCTACCTGCAAATGTGTATTAATTCGCATGGGATCGCGATTTTCGGGATCCGAAAATGATGGTGGTAGAGTATCATGGTGAAATAAATTAGTTGAAGACATTGTTTTATTGTTTTGTTTGTAAGGTCTGCTTTGTTTCAGTGCATATATATACACGTCAATATAGGCAAGTGTGACAATGCTAATTTACACTTCAACATTTTAAAACAGATAACAGATATATCAATATGATAAGAGAAGATGACATCATCGAGCATACATTACACAACAATAAAATACTTTGTGAAATAAAATTCAATGAGAAGATAGTTCAAAAATTTCGATGCCCCTCTATGAATGGATATTATCCATATGTTTGTTGATAACTATACACATGAAAATAGAAAAGACATCCTTTTGTTCTGTAAGATAGTATCGATCTAAAGCTGATACGTCTTGCGTGTACAGATTCCTTCCAGTGGATTATCATTGAGTTTTCCGTATACGAAAAAATGATGTTATTTATGATTTGCTTGTGGTAGACTCCTATATGTTTCTATTCACAATGGCATCACCAATCTACATGGTTTGTAATTTAGATTTTTTTTTTATAGATTCAACTTAAAGTTCTTTCGGAGAGCAAAATGTACCCAAGTAATTGAGGTATAGAGGAAGTATGGATCAATATAGCTATGTCGTAAATACTAACTAAAGACTTATGGATACAAAAAGGACGTCCTTGTGTTCTGTTAAATGGGATGGATTCCTTCCCGTTGTTTCCTGGTTGTACATATCCCTTCCTGTTATTGCACAAGATCAATATAATTTCAACATAATAGTAGCTTCATAGATATACATAAATGATGGTCCGAAGGTAGCAGATTATCGTTGAATAACTAAAACAGAACATAAAATTCTATTACCATCTTACGACCATCACCCTTTTTTATTTTGTTTTCTTTTTTATAACCTTATTCCCAAGTATCAAATAAATTAATCATTAAAAATCAGACTAAACCAACATATTCAATAAAGTCATTTCTTTTACCTTCGAATGGCGTTGTAGAAAAAAAAATACACCATATCCAATTTCAATATCAATAGAAATATGCTAACAAAGGTAGCTTTTGTCAATCAATATTATTGCTTTCATTCAGTTCGTTTTATTTTTTGTTTCCATCATGCATCAAATATCCTTATGGCAATTTTTATGTATAGTTTTTATATATCGATTGAATGTTGGATTGACTCTTTCAAATTCTTCCCATGGAACTAGTTTTACTCGTTGGACTGAAGATGATTGGCTTGAAACAGATTTCTTCATTCAAGCAAAATTTATGTTTAATCGGCAACGTTATGAAAATATTATTCTTCGTACACGAATGGCTGAATGGTCCTTAGAATTATCTTATGGCGATAAAAATAATCTAAATAAACTTTGGACAGAATTACATTTATTTCTTGATCGCCGTTATCATAGTATGAGTTTCAATGATTCCATATCAGATCATGTTAGACACACATGTCGTCCACCAATTCTTTCACCATTAACAAATGATTCAGCTGTGAGTATACCTGAATTAGCTGAAATCGATAAACGTATTGCACAATATTTTGTAAACGATGGTTTCTTTCGAACCATCAATTATATACATTGCACAATTGATGAACGACGTCACAATCCATCGCTTCATATTCAAATGGATATTTATTTAGTTACTAATCGTGAATTTCGTAGTTTGATTTATATTGAAATATCTAATACAACTCGACAATCATTTGCTGATTACCAAGCAAAATTTTATTTACATAATTATGAACAAAATTTTAAATATAATTTTAATGCATCCAGTATTATGTATCCGTTGCAATCAAATGCATCATTTGCTTATATGATTAAATTATACAATCCGAGTACACGTGCATCTAGTGGTACGATAATAATATCTTCGAATATGATAGTTACTGTATTCAATTTTTTTCTTATTTCAATATTTTTTTGTTCATAAGAACGAAAATAAAATTAAACAATGACATATAATTGAAGTTTCTAAGACTTTCTTTGTTTTTTCATATTCACTGATGTAAAGCTTATGGTTTTGTGATTAAATATCGTATCACTTTTCAAGTATAATTTGAATTTATGATAATCATGCCCAGAAACAGATTCGATTCTCTCTCGATAAATAAGCAACTGTTTTTCTGATATCGGAAATAACTCTAGTCACGGCCGATTTTTAGAAAGATATGAAGATAAGCAGACCCGTACATGAATATGTACTAACAAATGCAATCTGAATGAAAAGATTTTTTAACAATTGATCAATCAGTGTCTCCTAACAATAAATTTCATCATGAGTTATTAGCTATGTTGACTTTGAATATGACTTCAAGAAATTTTCTCGAGTCTATCTTCTTGTTTGAAAAGGAAAAACAGAATAGGAATCTATAAGTTAGGCAGATAGGAAAAAAAATTACTAAAAAGCTTACTAGTTTGAAACAGTAGCACACGAGAAGTTAAGTTAATTTTTTCAAATCGGGTACCTGAAGATACTATGTTCTTGGAATTTTCATATATGTCAAACTTGAAACTTGAATTCAATTTTCATCTTTTTAGCCAATAGCATTCTGAAGAATCGTGACTCACACATATATCGCTCGCTATGAGTTGAAAGTTGAAATTTTCTATTTTCAACTGAATTCAAGTTTCAAGTTTAACACTACTGGGAATTTTTATCGGGCTTTGTATATTTTCAGAATTTGGATTTTTCACATAGCTTTTTTACACTATTCGAAACATCATTCTCTTTGAAGTTTAACAACGATTTTCAACAGAACCAATATAATTTTCTACATCTATGTTATAACATAGGTGAGTTTATGTAAGACAAAGTAAATAAACGATCTTGACTATAACTCTCGCCTTCTCCCAAAACAATTGTGATCAGCTATTTATTTTCTGGAAAAGAAAATTTTGAATGATTAATTATATATTGATGTCTGATAGGTGTTGTTTGCAGCACAAATAAGTTATTTCAAAATAATAATATGAACATGCAAATCAATTTACTTTTGGTTTAACTATTTAAAAATATTTTATTGAGTGTCTATTAGAAATTATTGATTGAAGGTATAAATATTTCTTTCATTTTCTTTTGCGAAATGCAATTAGCCATGACCAAAACAAATACCAAAACAGGCAAATATATAGACAAGCACGTTAATGCCGCAAACCACTAGCATACCCACGGCACAACCAAGTTGTGCTTTAAGATATACCAGTTTGCTCGTTGGTGGGGAACTTGGACACGAATCAGGCACTGACTGTATTCCAGTCATAGTAATTTTTAAACATCGACTCACAATACTCCCATAGCCCGAAGTAAGAGTACTCAGATCGTGTAAGGCGCAGCATAAGCTTTCACCTAAATAACATTTGCAAAGGTTGTTTATAAAGTATGCATCGAAATAAATGATTACACAAGCCAATGCTGCACTGAATACTAGATTTAAATGAAATCGAAATAAAATTAATATGAACAAACAACACTATTCACGTACTATTGCATATTAGAATATAAGTAGCAAAACATCGGCCTCGACAGCAGCACACTGAATAAAGATAGAATACTAACAATACTGAGGATGAAATTTTTCGAAGTCGCTTACTCATGCAGAGCATCATTAAAGATGTTTTTATAAAGACTAAACCGGCCCAGAAACCAATCCAAATGGTACCATGTGCAACATCATAGTAGAACGATCCGAATTCTAGACCAATAATGGCTGCCGTTAGAGCTAGTTGAGCAATGCCTAAAATTGCTGTAACCCATCTTGGAAGTCGTCTTTCAAAAGCCATAGGTTTCTTTTTTTAAATTTAAATAGAGTAAAGTCCACTGAAATAAAAAGTAAACGTATAACCCTATATTATGTTAACAATAAAAAAAAAGGTGCATAAAGAGAGAAAGTGTATAAGTAGTAGAACGACACACGCAAACATACGTATTAATACTGGGCGCGTGCAGCACAGACGCTATGCAAAATAATATTAAACGGAGTCTATGGTTTCTCGGTTCTTGGCACAGAAAAAACAGAGAACAAGTCAGTTGTTTGATACACATTCTCTGTCATTGACATCATGAAAATGAAAATTGTTCGTGATATAATTCAATAACATTTATAGGATATGAATCAGTTCTGCATCTATCCTGGACAAATTTTGTTTCTCATATAATTGCATAGTCACATCCACTTATATTTCTTCATCAATCAAATAAATGATGTGTCGAACTGAGGAAAATGTTGCAAATAAGCACAGTTTCAATGATTAATTCGAATATTATTAACAAAATACTCATGACATTACTCAAAACATATTGTTAAATTTTAATTCATAATTATCAATGGGTTTAGTTATTTCTTTAGAATAACACATATCGTCTGATTGAAACATTCAATGCATCGTATAAATATATATATATATGAATTAGCATCAACAGGATAAATTGGCAATATAGAACGCAATACAAAATATCCTTTTCATATTTCTCTGACTTTTCACGTCATACTCTTTTTCATAAGTCGTCATAACGGCAATACAAAAGACTTTTTAATATTGCCAATAGAGTACTTTTTTTTCTTTACCTACATTCATCGTACTGATTGTAGCTAACAGAGAAAATAGTAACAAACAAACACTCGCTTGATAAAACAATTCAATAACTAACCTTGAACAGTAACAATGTATTTGTTCTGATCTTTTCAATTAGCAGTATAATAGAATACAAGATTCACCTTAGTTTGTATAAAAACTATCGACTTGCTTTCGTCTTGTTTTTTATGAAGTCTGACAAAATGCAATCATACTGTGTTGACATGACTAAACGGTATACAATATTACCGCTTGGCAAATAAGTAGATTTAAACAAATTTCGGATCAAAGAGTCGCAACTCATGTGTAAGTTATTTGGTACTCCTTTCTTTTTTTCAAAAACAAATCAATGTACCATGATGGCAGCAGTAATATGCACATTAGAAGATAAGAATTCGAACTGTTTGTTTTTCAAATATCTATACCCAAGCATGAGCGAGCCATTGTGAATTCTTTCTTCTACATAAATTACTGACTAACGTAACTAGAATATTGACACGAACGTAAGGGACAAAGCAAACTTCACCTGCATTTCTTCGAATTTCTTGTCGGATAACGAATAGGCTAGAGCATTTAACTCATGCCCACTGCACATAAAAAGCTTTACATGACTCATCGATGCATTGATCGATTATTCGTCGAAATGCATGATTTTATTTTCTAGTCATTCACTCAATTTATTACGCATCATGAATAAATTTTTAGGAAAAACACTGTATTAATCAATCATTGTCCACTGTTCTTTGACGTTCCATATGTTGCCCAGTTGATTCCAAGTAAGTCTATGGGAGGAGGCTTCTCCAAATAAGGCATTACATATTCTTTCTTCACAGTTGGCTGCTGAAGTTTGATGATCTCTTGCTCAAGTTTTTTGATTGCCTCCTTCAGTGCCGCCATATCTTTTTTCAATGATTTCTGTTGTTTATCAATTTTTTTGTTGAGTTCTTCAAATTTACTATTCCATGAAACACGATCTTTATCCATAGTTTGAAATTTTGTACCAAACTCATTGAGGGATTTATTTATTTTATTGATTTCATTTTCAATAGTTTTAAAATCATCAAGATTTATTGGGGATCCACGATCAGGTTTTGGTGCAGTTTCGAGTCTCTGCAGACGATTTTTGAAGTTTTGAATTTCCTCTGTATGGTCCTCTCGAAGTTTGTTCATTTCTGAACGAAGAGCTCCAATTTCGTCGCTAGAATCGGCTACAACTGGACGAACACGATTTTTACGGGACGACAGTACAAATGAAGGTGTTTGTGGCAATCTAGTTAAATTTTCTTTAATAATTTCCTAAATATAAAAATCATAGAAGAATCAAAGCTCAAATAATTTACTTTTCGTGTGCGTAATTATAATTTAACAGCACACTTCATTTGACTTTTTTTTTACTATATTTTGAAAGGTCGAAATAGAGAAATGTTTCAAGTAAGTTTCACTCATTGCATTTCTTACGATCGAAACATACAGTTTTAAAGCAGTCGTTTCAGAAGCTCTCCGTTTTTTTTTCTGGACAAGTTTTGCACTTCCGTTATTTTTGTTTTCATCAGTAAGAAAGCGTAATCGCTCTTTTAATGTCTTTAAAGTTTAAGTTTCGAAAGTTTTGAATTAAATAGTTGAGTGAAAAAAAAGACAAACTTGCATTACACAATGTTCAGATGGCTAATTTCGAATCTTTTAACGGGTCGTGTTGAAAAACACAGTAACTAATCTTTCTAGAAAATATAACAGCGTTTAAAAAACTATAAGTAAAATAATTCTTCTGTAATCCTATTCAATTTTTTTCTTCTAGTTAAGTTTATGTTCAAAGTATATCCCTTGAAAACGAGACTTCGATGTTTATTAGCAGCTTAAGATTATTCTATGAATTCTAATATCCATATAAAAGCAAAGTTTGTGGGGAGATTTAGTTAAATACTTAGTTCTGAATTTTTAATTCTAGTATTCTTAAAATATTCACACGGAGCTGTTGTTCATAAGATAGTTAGACTTGTTCTTTTATCTGATAGTACTGATTTACAGATGAACTCGATAAGTAAATTGCTAACTACAAACCATATTCAAATAAAACAATAGTTTAATTTTTCATTCTCGAACATATTCTCTATTTGTAACATACCTTTTTCAATGCTCTGTCGATTAAAATACCATATTTACGTTCTAGACGCTTCTCATATGCCTAAATAACAAGAATAATAGCAATATTATATTGAAAAAACCAACTAGATTCCGCTTACTTCAAGACGTTGAATTCGATTTGAATACATCTTATCCCATAGTTCAATTTGATTTCGAAATTCAGTTTGTCTGGCTTTATCAATTTCTTGAATGCTACGGTCACAAATAGGATCACGATGAGTTCTCTATAAAAAGAAATTGTAACAGTATAACTGACCTATAGACCATTTCTCCAATGAATTTTCGTCGAAATCTTTTGAATTTCTCTCGTTCTGAATTGAAAATCTTATGTTCTTCACGGTCTAGTGATGGTTCTTCCGACTTCTGTTTATCGGACACTGTAGGCACCTATATTTTAATGAGTCCATATGAAATTGTGAGCAAAAAAGAACACGAACTAATCCGAAATGACACATATGTTTTCGAACACGTTTATCATTGAAATGATCTTCGATTGGGTTTGTTTCCATAAGGTTTCGATAAGGTTTTATTGGTCTACAAGCAATTTATATATCCTATTTTTATAGATGTAAGCAACAGACTTACGAAGGCAGCGGAGATTGATACCGCGGTGTAGCTTGTGGTTCAGTCATACCTATTTTCATCTAAAATTTCTTATCAAGAATTAAAATAAGCATTTCAAAAGTGATTTTTATAGAAATTATTTTCGAGAACAACATTTAGAACAAGAGCCGACTGCTTTTTTAACCGAAGACTCTAATTCTTTACTCAAACGTTCCACTTCTTCGACAGTACCCAATCGATATCCATAATGTTCAGGTTTCATATACGGCATACCGCTCCACTCTTTATATTTCACTTCATCTTTCTCTTGTGTTGCAGTTTGTGGAATATCTGGACGGATGCATTTGTTGACATTGTGTTCATCGTTTTCGTTGTCTACCTTTTGTTCTTTTGAGTCTGGCTCCGTTTCTTGTACACTGATAGAAGCATTGGGCTGCTGTTCATACGTTTTCTCGCTTACAGAATTTTCAGTAATAGGATATCGAATGCCAGGAGCTCGAAAAAAATCGTTGAGTGAAAAATATTCGATATCAGCAGGTGTCGAAGGCATAGTATCAGAAGGTGAATTAACACCTGGAGAATTGTTTGATGTATTAGCCATGTTGGGTGCGAGATTCTATTAAAATAAAAACATATTCAATCTAGTTATTTAACTTTAAAATCGCTTCAAAGTTATGGTCAATGGTACTGTCCATATTTCGCAGACTCCGACTTTTAACTATAACTGTCGGAGTATTCTCATTGATGTCTATTGCTTGTATAAATTATTTATAGACGAAGATTTATATGAGCAGTATTTTCATAGAGATTGAATCCTTACCACATGAATATTATAATTAAAACTGGCTGAAAAGAATTTTATATAAATAAGAGCATATGTAACAGAAATTATCTGGGTGTTGTGAATGTAAGCTCTATGTTTAGCGTAGCTGTTTCACAAGCAATTGTGTTCATATAACAGTTGAGTATGTTATAATAAAATCTATCGTATTGTTAGAATCAACTACTGGAAATGTTTACCTGATTATTTCCTGGCAAATTCAGTTGTTGCTCCTGCGACAATTGTTGTTCAACGTTTGGTTTCGGAGTTAATGGTAAACGCAGATTGAGATCGGTAGCAATGCACTTAGGAATATATGTTTTGGATCCATGAGCACGAGAAACGAGACTTACAAGCATGTGTACCAACGAATCTGTATTATTTGCCTTTTTAAGTTCCTTGGTACTGTCATCTACCTTGAATCTGTCATCTACCTTGATACTGCCATCTACCTTGATACTGCCATCTACCTTGATGCTGCCATCTACCTTGATACTGCCATCTACCTTGATGCTGCCATCTACCTTGATGCTGCCATCTACCTTGATGCTGCCATCTACCTTGATACTATCATCTACCTTGATGCTGTCATCTACCTCGATACTGCCATCTGCGACAGCTGCAACAATGTAGCTAACAGCAAATATAGCCACTCTCTCTGCAGGTAGTGAACGGTTTATGGGTTTAGCACGTAATGATATTATGCTTTTGCAACATGAACTGCAACCTTCATGAATACTATCATATGAATCGTGAAGCTTAAGTAACTGCTCTTTATATCGATCAGCCACCTTTCGAGCTACTTGACGAGCTACATTGCATTGATCAATGACATCTCCAAAATTGCTAATCACCTCCAGTCTGCTTTTGATTAAATTATAATCTATATCGTCGAGCTTTGCAGCAACTTTTCCAGTTGCTGTTTCTAGTATGGAGCCAATTTGAGGTATACTACTGATTCCTTTGGCTATCAATGAGATAACCGATGCAGCCCTAAATACAATGATATAATCTTTCGGAAGAAAAGGATGAGTTTAATAGTATTGTGGCTATACTACATCTATAACAATTTTTATTTCTTCTGTAATTGCTCGCTCAAAGAAGCTTCGAAGAGAATTAAATATTTATAAACGTACTCAAAACGCAATGACTGGCAATCCCAATGCTCGTATGTATTTGAGAATTTTAAAGTATGTGTTCTTTCATAATTTTTCAAGGTTTTCTATTTTTCGATAAGAATAATTCAAGTTAGAGACATACGGATAAATTTGAAATAATCTTTAAAAGTCTATGGAAATATTGAAATAGGATACATGCTTGTTGGCTACTGATTTTGCGTACACTTTTTTTTTATAATTTTATGATAGTTTGTCTCAGCATGGGTCAGCTAATATAGAATCGCCAATCAGCACTTCAGTAATTTATGTTCTCCATATTAATATTTTAGCTTAAATTTGCAAAGCATTGGCTATCACTTTCATTTATGGAACTTCTATCGTGTATGATCGTGTAACTCATCCTCGATCAAAATAGTTGAAAACGTCATATTCTAATTTGTGTTTCATGAACTTTTCACATTTTCTTCTTAAAATTACGTTCATTCAGATATTAGAAAATACATCAGTATTGAGATTCGTTTCTTGTAAATAGAGATGTATTTGCATGGACTCAACACAGAAGCATCGCCTTTTAAAATGTAGAATAGAATAGTAAAAATGTGCACTCACGTGTGATAAGAACCTTTCAAATTATGAGCCAGGACGGATTGCGGAGTTCCACCAAGAGCAAATGCAGCGAGAACATTCGATAGTTGTATTCGAAATTTTCGATAGAACCACAAACGATTTTCCTTGCCATCACTTTCGAAGCTTTTTTCGTCCTCAGCTATTTCTCTACGATCAGTGTCCATTTTTATCAGTCCTTCCTTTTTTTTTTCTGAAAGATCAAAACTCATTTTATCCCAATAACTATTGTCACCTATCATTCTGATGAATGATTTCCACGTGTCTATTGATTCAGGATGTTTTGCAAAATTTTCAAAGAGACTTTCAACTGCTTGATGTGCTGACAGACAATCTTGTCCTTTCATTTGACATAGAGCCAAGAATGCAAAAGCTTCTGGACAGAAATGTTCGGTATCAAATAGAATCGCTGCCTTATATTCTTTCACTGCTTCTAAATATTTCTCATTATGTGATTCCACTTCTTGCTTCATTTCTCCCATTTCCTCTCGAAATGATGTCGTTTCTTTGTGAAATTTATGCAGTTCTTCCTGAACCAAACCCATCCGCAAATGTCGGCTAGGTGATTCACCATGTTGCAGTATCTCAGCTTTCAAGTGACGCAAGAGATCTTCAAGCATGAGTACTGCGACCGAAACTGATCGTCCTAATTGCATGGCATGACGACGATCAGACATAGCATTATCGAGTTTGCCTAGTTTCTCGAAAGCGTTTGCTCGTTCATACAAAATATCAGCACTGTTGGGTGCGTATTTATGTGCTGTAGTAAACGTTTCTATGGCTTCTTTGTACTTTTTATCGGCTGCTTGCATCATTCCAAGTCGAAAAATACATCGTGGATGTTTCGGATCAGTTTGCTTAGCCAATTCAAATAATCGTCGAGCATCATCTGTGTCACCAAGCTGGTACTGACAAAGACCCTGTTGAAATAGGCATTCTGCTCTTTTAGAAGGATTTTCCGTACGATCAAACGCTTGTTGAAAAGCCTTGAAGGCTTTCTTACTCTTCCGTTTTTCACTAAGAAGCAGAGCACGATAGTAGTCTTCTTCGTACTTTGCATTTTCGTCTTCTTTGCCAACTGGTTCCTCAATATCTTTTTCAGATGGCAACGGTTCGCATGTATCTTGTTTATCCTCTTCCGTGTATTCAATGTTTTGGTCATTGTCATCATCATTATTTCTCACGATTTCTTCAATATCTTCGTCATCGTCTGGTTCATTTTTACTTTCATTCAAAGCAATACGCACGCGCTCCAGACAATATTTATAATAGGAATGAATCGGTTCCTGTGCCAATTGTATGCCTTTTTCGATATCGTCGAACGCTTTTTTTAGAAGCTGCATTGATTCATAGACGAGTCCTCGACTAATGTATCCCATAGATAAACGTTCCCTATTGCGCTTGTCTTCCGAACGCTTAGCACGATTGATCATGTCTGAATAATCACTTAGAGCTTGATCATAGTCGCATAATATGTGATATACCCAAGCTCGTTTATAGTAGATTTCAAGTTTCGAAATAAATGGTTTCTCATCGGACTTATCGTAAAGACTAAGAGCTTTCGAAAAGTCATCAATAGCTTCTTGATTATTCTTCGCTCCACCCAGTTTCAAGTAAGCATTACCACGAAGATAGAGGATATCGACAGTAGGATCGTTGACTTCTGAAAGTTTTTTTATTGCTTCATTGAAATCCTTCGGAGTACCATTTTTTGCTAGACCGCAAGCGTCCAGTATAATCTTATCCATTTTTTTGGATACCTGAAGCGAAAAAAGTAGCACTCATTCGTATCTAGACTTATAGTATATCTTGAATGAGCAAGTCGAATTCAAGTTCAATCAAAACTAAATCTTCAAACGACTATTTCATGGTAAACTGAAGATATCTATCTATATCTTTCAACTAAAAGAAATGTAAGTCGAAAACAAAAAAAGACAGCAACGCTATTCTAAGAGTCCACTCTAAATCATAATTTTCAACATAACATGGTGGCAAGGTTTTCTCAAACCTTACAGTCACAAATGTTTATGAATACAAAGTTTTTTTAAAACGTATTTTGAAGGTGATTGGCATTGTTTGCTTAATCTATTACACCAGTGGCAAGGTAAAAAGATGTCCTCGTCTACCATTTGGGCAATAAAAAGTGGCCATGAGAAATGATAATAAAATCAGACTTGAATAATAATATAAAGCTGATTATAATTAGGCTACTAATATCTTTATTGTGGAAAGCGTTTCCAATGATATGCAAATAGCTCTATACTCGACATAAAACCTCGTGAAGAATTCATCAAATAAAATAGACGCAGTACGATCAAGTTTAAAGTCGAATATGATCAGATAAATACAATGGCTTCAACGTTTCTAATTGTAGTTCAGTTCAAAATGGCATTTAAGGGAAAATATCTCTAGGATACACGATATTTAGACTGAGTAAGGGCATTACATTCCTATGGATAGACGATTTCTCAGAAATTATAAACACGAAAAAAACAAAAACGCTATGGATTGATGCATAATCATTGAATTCAATAAAGAACTATAACTTGTCAAGAAAATATGAGTAAGTCACATTGAAATTTTCGCAAGTAATCATAACTGTTGCTAAGTGAAATTTTCAAAAATGTACTATTTAATGAGACGTGTATCTGTACGATAAATTTTATAAAAATGGTGGCAACCGTTGATGGAAGAAAATGTGGTAATTTAATTTTGGTGAAAGGACCACTTTAATAGTTCGAGTAATGTTACTCTGTTTTGTTGAAATCAATGATGATGCATCTAGATAGTCTAGATTAATTTTTTTTCTTTGAATTTCTCACGAATACTCCTTTACTAGTACTAAAACAGTAAGCTTGTTTGCGAGACATATTGTTGCGAGACATTTATATTTTGGTTTTCACTGATGTAACTTCGGCACTTTTTTTTATGTATGTGTGAACAGGAAGAGTTTTTTTCAAGATAAAATTTCAATAAATCTATATGATAAGATATATGCTTACTGAATCCGTGGGTTGGTTTTCATGGTGTTGCTGATCCGTCGTTACTTTTTTTTGGAGCCAATTACTGATACTGAATCGTCGTTTTGGGAGCATCGCTTTTAACACTTTGTAGTTACTGTATGTGTTTGTATGTATGAAATTGTATTTTTAATTGAACAGCTTGCTTTTATAGTTTTTTTTTTGTCTTTGAGAGAAATCAGTAGAGAGAGCGAAAAAATTCACCGAATAGACGTTAATGCCACAAGCAACATCCAAGACTATTTATAAATGAAAAAAGTGAAAGCCTTGATTCGTCATATATATATTCTTTCACTTGTTTCTTAGCAAAAGACGATGAGAGAGAATTTATTATTGCCATTAATTGAACTTGAAAATATTATCTTTATAGTATCAAATATCGTTGCAACCACGAATAAAAGTAGTTTCAATGTGATTCTGATAGAAAAACAAAGAAAGCTCTACAACTTCGTCCTAGCCTTAGAAATTCAAATGAAGAATACTACAAAATAGAGTTTGACTAGATATTGAGTTCTGTTCAAAGCTCAAAACTTTATATAGTTAAAGTAACAAATAAATATTTTTCTATTTCTAATAAATATGCCGTAGAGAAAATGATACTTGAGATAAATTTAGTAAAAGATTGAGATTTATGAACTGTTACCGTTTAGATGAGATCTGCTAAAAGAGATCATTTCAACAATCAATGTGGCTTTCATAGATAGTTGATAGTTGCTCTCACGAATACTGAAAATCCATTTATCTATCTGATTCTATTCAAATACACTAATGAGAAATAAGATTACACAGAATCATTAATTTAAGAATTTTTCTTGTCAGTTTTGTTGTTGTAGACAACTATTCTATCTAGTCAAAGATTATTTTTAATCCAAAAGACAGCAGAAAGCTTTTTCTCTATTCATTCAAATAAATTACTTTGCCATTTTATCAAATTTCTAAAATGACATCCTGGATATATATATATATATGTCATGTATGCAAGGTGTTTTGGTATTCCAGTATTATGTTTTGGAATTTTGGGGATATATTAAATATATTCATTTTGTCAACAGTGAGTTCGTATCATCAAACACCATCGACATTTTATCTCTTGTGTACAGTCATTGCAAATTTCATTCATTGAACGATTACAATGACCTCCCGAAGTCTTATGATTGGTTTTGATTATGATTTAACACGTTCATCTCTTATTTGGTGTAGGACTCGTCAATTTATTACTGGAACTTATCCACCTTTAGCACTGACGTTTGGCTCTTTGACAACTTTTGATCAATTCATGATAACATCACGTAGTGTTTGTTTACACTCAAATACAGTAGGTTAAAATATAAAATTATGGAGAAATTTTACATTTTTGGGATTTGAAAATTTACATATTGACGCGAGTCATCATTCAATTTCGACATGAAAAACTAGGTTACTTTAGCTTTCTTTCTATTGAAATTCATTAGTCAAAGAATTTTTAAGAAAGAACTAACCGTACGAACAGTGGAACTTCATATACGCCAGAAGATAAAGCAATTCTTTATCCGGATTCATAGTTTTACAATTAAGTTAATTTCAATTACATTTTCCACGAGCCAAAAAGAATTTACATCAGGATTGATAAACTTCTTTTAACCTTTAGCAATCTAATTTAAAAGTTTTTTCAAATATTACTTCTAGAGAATTTGTTATCTATTTAAGATGTTGCATGAATATTCACAGACGCTAAAAGATTTTAAAAAATGCTGAGAATTAGTTATACAACAATTGTAGAACTTGGTTCCCTTTAATGAAACTAAAATTTTGAAATGATGTGGATTTTTCTGTATGTTTTTAATCTAGAAAACACTTCCAGTTTCGTAACATGGCGATTTTCACCTGGAAACATAGCTTAACTTACCTATAGTATCTTAAAGGAGGATATCAATGATCTGTTGGAATATGATAAGGCAAATATCTTAGTAATTTTAATTTCTATCATAAGAGTGAGTAATTGATTCTGCTTATTTCAAATCAATTCGTTCAGTTAAGCTATTGTAACACAACTAGCATGCGCAACAATAAAAATGCAAAAACACTATTTGACGAATTTTATATATTCATTTGAAATTTTTAGGTTGGATAGATGTATCATCAGTAATCAAATATTAGCAATCTATTGGTCTTAAATATACATTTTTTGCTGTTTTACTGGCAATACCTACAGTAACATTGGTTACATTTGGCTTTCTCACATATAAGAATATTCATCGATTAACTAATGTTGGCCAGTTGGTAGACTCTGATCAGTAATTAGCTAAAATAATTTGTTTACAACTTAGTCTTGCTGTTATGGCAACAATACGGGAAAATGACACTTCGTCTCGCCTCTTTTTTACGAACCCCTGGCATAAAAAAGGACATGGTGTTCGGAACGGAGTTCGGAAATGAATTACAACAAAAATACAGGGCGTTCGTAAAGAGAAAAATGTACATGAAGTTCGGAATCAGAATGTCCGGATGTTCGTAATGACAAAGACATGGAAACCGTAATAAAAAAGAGACGACACGATTTTCGCAAATATGTTCAGGTTTTGTTTCTCTGTGAGAAAATATGAAGTGATACGCTATAGTCACAACCTAGAATCACGTATAGTCAACGTTTCGGTAGATTCAAGCAACTACGATTGCACTTCTGTTCACTATAATAACTCTAGTATTAGTTATTATTCTCCTTATTCCTTCAATACTTTCTGTTACAAGATACTAGCTTTATTGAAAGAAACTAAATACATATATATTCATGACTCTAGTGTTAATGTACGTCATCATTCTATTTATTCTTCGATGAATGTACATGTTTTTATGAACCTGACTGTTTTTTTTTCGATGTTGAAGCAATGAGATCAGATTGAGATGATGACGTGCAAGATGAAGGCGAAGCAGCAGTAGTGTGATCGCAGGGTCTAACCCTAAGACGATTCAATATTGGAGTTGAACGTAAATAAGCTTTAGGACCAGCCTGCTTAGTTGCTGCTTTCGCCAACTGTTGGTTTTTAATCAACTTATACCCTTAGAAACAACTTCTGAGACTATAGTAATTACAAGTAGGATAATGTAACCTATTATTGTCTATAAGAGCAGAAAGTCTTTTTATATTAAATTACAATATTCTTATAAATTCTTTTACGGACTCCACGTTTAAGTACCTTTAGAATTTCCTTCCGAACTACCGATGGTGTTTATTACGATCTTCAGTTGTTACATTAAACATAGCAAAAATACTCTATTTCGAACATCCGGTAAACACAATACGATCTTCCTGTTGTCTATTACGATCTCCGGTAATAGATGTTTACGAGCTCCCGTCATAATTTTTTACGAATAAAATTCATTTCCGAACACCCGGTAACATTTACCGGCGTTCGAAAGAGATGAGACGAAACGTAAGTCATCCAATAATGCCCTTCGGAATCTATAATACATACATATTAGCAACATCTAGTAACTACAAAAATGCTGAGGAAATCGACCGAGACTTTTTATTTTTAACTGTCACAAGTTTGATGGACCTTTTGAATTTTGGAGTCAGTTAAATTGACACGGTTGTTTAAAAAAAATATCATGAAATTTTCTTAATTCAGGAAAATTTTTATGTATTTCTTGTTGCTTCAAGTCTTTTCGTCAAATAGTTCGAGAACGATTATTTCCATGTCGTAAAAATCCAAATGAAATCCGCCCTACTACAATATGTTCAAATAAGCCACCATGAAAAATTATTCAATAATTATTAATATATTCGATTGGAAACCCATATGACCTACTTATGTTTTCCTGTGATGTATCTTCTTCTATCAATTGTATCAATATAGAAAAAACAATTTTGAATATATCTTCTCATAAAAATGAATTCCAATTGGAGTATTAAATAAATTATGTTATGTGACGAATTCATTTCATCTTGCATATATATATATACATGTTATTTACCTATTCCTTATTGGAAAATCTCTTAATCTAGCCATAAAAATTATTTAGCTAAAGATCCATCATGTGCTTCACTGAAATATTGCACTAATTCTTAATGATATCAATCAGTTTGTCAGGTACTATGAAACTAGTTATACTGTTTGTTCCGAGTGCTAATGCTTTTTCATTGGCATTGTTCTTGACTCAACAATGTTCCGTTTAAATTCTTCGTCAGATGAGCTCAGATCGACAGTACAACTGAAAACAAAAGATTTTGCTCTTGCTTTAGCCTGAAATTTTAGAATACAATCAAGTTTTTTCATTCACAATAATAAAAATCTTGAGGACATCAAAATTGAGCTATCAAGATAATTTCACATAAAAATAACGTGAAAAATAGATTTTTTTCTGCTTGTACTCATCGCGAATATTGACGTAGAAACAGTTCATTTTTTAGATCTATGCACATCTAGATACTCTACGTATATTTATGCATCTCTACTGCTTCTAGCCAGTACCCTGTATACCCAAACTCTCATACAGCACAATGCTCATTTTTGTAAATGTTCAACTCTTTCAAATTTCGCTAAGTCCAGAGAAAAGTATCGTTTCTTCAGACGAGAGTTCTCTATGTGTAATTTGAAACTAGTTAACCATCAGCGTCTCTTGAAATGATATTAAAAGCACGGTTCATCCCAAAACAAAATTCAGTCGATTGCGAAATAATTCTTTGACAATCTCTAAGAAACCGTTTCCACACAACAATCAATGACGAAACTTCGATAAATTAAATGAAGTTCAGATTCGTTGACCTCGATTACTTTTCGTCAAACTTAGTAGAATAGAAATATCCTTCCGAAAAAACCTTCCCCAGTCCTGAGAAAATAATCAGAGATTCGAATTTCTCGTGACTATCATACTTTTTTTTAAATAAAAAATTAAGTTTTTTTCTAGAAAATTTTTTATCGGTATTTTTGAGCCTTTGGACCAAATCGATGCTTAAATTTGTCCACCTTAGGTCGTTTAGGTGATGTATTGAAACGTCCCGATCGAGCTGATTGTGCTTCATTTATGTATAATTTTTCATCCTTACGGCTGCCAACCATCAATGATTCCTGTGTCTTTACAATATTTAAAAGTTCTTTGCCCCTTCTTCCTAATAGATAACCGAGCATTGTTGACTTTCCCGTACTGCATGGGCCAATGATAGATATGTATATGGGGTGCTCAGCAAAATGACTAATACGATCCTTTTCTATTGATACATTAACGCCTCTCCATGCAAATGTATTTTCGAAGTTTTCAGGTAGAGGTTGATCATCATCGTATAAATACATGAAAGAGTCAATTTTGCTATTTTGAGCGATATTTTGAATAGTAGGCAGTACACGCTGGTTTTGTACATATAACGAAGAGCAACATTCTTTCACTACTGTTAACGTGTGGTGACGAAATCGTGAACTAAAAACATTCGCATTGGAGAAGATAATCATGATAAGAGAGAAGATACATGTCAGCGTGTTAGAATCATCTAAATTATATTCACTTTTGCTAAGAGCTATGATAAACTCTGCAGCTGTCTGCCGTGCTTCTAAGATATTTGCCTTATGATATTCAACACGTTTTGTTGTATCTTCAGTAATGATAAGATTTGATCGGACTAAAGATTCATGTTTTAAAAGAGGCAGTGGAAATGAAGTAATGCCAAGATAATCAAATAATTGAAGTGTGTCCAATACATTATCACCTTCTGATAATTCATTAAATAATGTATATGGATTTTGTGAAGTAAGTGAATGAAGAATAGCCATAAACCAAGTATAATGAATTGGAGAACTCAATACAAATTCGCCACTTTCATTTTGGATTGATAAAAAATCATCTTTATGTGCTATGAGAACAGCTAAATAAGGAAAACGATCAAGTTGTTGTTGAGTCAGATGAATAAGTTTATCAGATGTGCCAAAACGAAATGTATAACTAACTGTTGTATTGTGATCAATTATATTAAATATTTCGGCCATTGCTTGAAATATCTATTTGACTAATAGTTAACCGTGTGCTGAATGGTAGCCAAATTTATTGTACTAGAAACAAAGAAAAGAATATTTTGCTTCTTTTCGTTATCAAAGCTTTCAGTCATACTTTTGTCCCATAGGCATGTTGGTTTTTTCCAAATATCATCTTTACCTATGAGAATCTTCTCGGCGGTATATTGAGAATAATACACATGTATATTATATTTCGTAATAGAAATACTATACATGAATTTGATTAAATATGCTTAATGTAAAAATCAGATATTTTCTAATTGAATCAGTACAATCTTAGCGACATCTTTCATAATTTCATAATTTTCAGATAAATTTGGTGGATTGATTAATGTAAGTATTTTTCGATAGAATTCCTATTTCGTCGAGTTATCGAGTATGTTTAATTACTTCGACAAAGGACGTGTGTTATAGAAGAGAAAAAGTTTCATCAATTTTTGTCGAAATCAACACAGAAAATCAAGTTTTTTTATTAACAAATTATTCTTATTATATCGTTTCATAATCAGTTTTATGTGGATAGATGAGAGTATGCGACTAGTTCAAATCAATGGTAACACTCACATTCCTTTCCACCAACGCTGTTCTTGTGTATAAAAATGTCCATAGCTTAATTTCAGTAATAAATGCGACTGTGATTTATTTTATTGTCGTTTATGTAAATGATAAAAAAAAATGGAAGCACACAAAATTCTGTAGGGTTAAAAAATACTTAGAAAAACAAACCATTTGCTATTTTATATTTATTCAATTGTTTTTTCAATATCATTGTTTAATTTTATTTAAAAATCTTGCCTTGATTAAATTTTTTTCCATTGTGTTCCCCTTCCCAAAGTAAATATTGATTAACTAATTTCTGTGTATTTTCATCGTCCACAGATAATCGTTTCCATGTATAAGATTCATAATCAACTTGCCAATCAGGTGACAGCTAAATACACAAACATGAGTATATATGATGGAAATAAAGAAAACGACTTCTTTTACTTCGAAAGCAAGCTCATGTCCGCGCCAAAACCAAATACCAGCAATAGTGTTATTGTTGTTTTCTCCAAAAACACACATACTACCAAATGCATGTTTACGTAATTTATCTAAGCGTTGAAAAAATCCAGATGCTAAATTACAGGTTCTATATATTTGAGTTAATTCGTCTGAATATTTATATTCACAAAACCATATTGAGCAATGATCTTTATCAAAATTTGTCCAAAAATAGGGTAACGCTTTTTCAGCTGTATCTTCATTTGAATATACACGTTTAAATTCATCCATATTGAATGTTGTTTTAGGTATATCAGCGAATGGATCCTTTTGTTTTGGTTCATTAGCATACGCATCATCAGTTTCATCATCTGCACGATCTTCTTCCTTTGTTTCACTTTCTTTAGGTTTCTTCGCTTGTTTTTCTTCTTGCTTAGCAGACTTTTTTTCTTTTTTAGATTTCGCTTCCTCTTTATGTTCATCGGCGTTATGTGATAACTTTTTCGCACGTGGTTGACTTTGAATAACATGATCTTTCTGTGAAAGTTCAGCAAATTTCTTTGCTAAAAAAGCAAAAAGCATAAATATTGAAATAAAACGTTGGACATTGTTTTTTTCAAGATTTTCGTCGAAAGCGCTATTTACAACTCGACGCTCAGACCCTCGGCGATTAGATGATATTTCATTGAGTTTTAGTATTCGTACCACCTGTATAGTTCTTAGACAATATTAATAATGATGATTGTATAACAATCACATTGGGTTAGTCTAAATAATTCTTTTATATTAAGTTTTCATTTTTCGAACATTTTAGCCAATTAAAAATTTAGCTGAAATGAAACTTACCATCGAATTGTGCTGTTTTTTCACATAATTTGAAATCAATACCAATAACATCTTTTAATTCTGCTTGATGGATTAATGTTAAAAACCATCGTGTTAAATTTGAATAGGTTTCACGTGTAGCTGGATCAATAATCTAAAGAAATGAAAAAGAACAATTGCGACATGAAAGTCCTATACATCTAATCTCAATCACTATTATACCCATTGATATAATAAAAGTAAATCACAAGCAATAGTAATATCAGCTAGTGTAATACGTTCACCAACGAAATATGTTCGCGTACGAAGATACTGATTGAGTAATCGTAAAATATTGTTCAGCTCAGATTTTGCATGCTCATTATTGTTTCTATTAAACTGTAAGATACTCATACATGGGTAAGCTAATGTGACTGATACTGGATTAATTTCTCGTTCACTGTATTCAATCCATTGAAGAACTTCAGATTGTTCAACTAATGATTTACCACGAAGTTGTTCATTGGATACTAATTGATTCAAATGATATAATACTGTTTTGTTCGTTTCCATTTAGCGAACTTACGATAATGAGCAATAGCATTCGATTCGAATAGATAAAAGCCAGCATCATTCTCATAGGCGGGTACCTAGAAATAAAATATGATTTTAGATTAAAAAAACATTCAATTTGTGGAAATACTCATACTTTGCTTGTGGGAAATTTACTAACATATTCTTCTAAACGATTAGTTTCATTCATTTTGAATTGATTCTCATTGGCAATAGTCAGTTCTGCTCCACTATATTTAGCGGCAATTTGAGCTTTGAAACCTTGAATATTACCAGGAAATGTATAAAGTGTCTAGAGTAAACTAATCTTAGTAACTTGATACGAATTTTGACGTTTCTTACGCCTTTCCCTTGGTGGTTTGATGCCATATTTGAGTTTTCTTTAATGTAACAAAATTTAATGAACGATTCAGAAGATCTACAATTAAAATATGATGTAAAGTAAAGCTAGCCGAACAGGACGATTTATCCGGAAGAAAGTAATGATTCTATTGGACGATGTGATGATCAATAGGTAACGAAATATTCGTAAATCATCAGTAAACAGGAATACAAGACAAAAGCATTTTGGACATGGCTGTCTTAGTGATACCATCACTGTGATAGTATTATGCGAAAATGCATTGAATACTATGATGATTATCTTTATACTAAGAAATAAAGACTATGGATCGTTTATGCATCATTTTATTATTAAGAAAAAAAAGATACAGTAAGAAACACTATTTTTAATAGGATTTCGGAGCAGTGTATGCGTACACTTTGCTAAGTCAAAAATTTTATTTTCAGAGTGTAATTAATAGGAAAACAAAGTGTATTCTCAAAAAACGGAGCGTCCGTACGCTTTGTTCTGCTGGGGTACACTAATCATTAAAAACAGTGGTGAGAAAAAAAGTTGAGTAATGAGATAAGAAGAAATAAAAACCAAAGTTGATCAATTATGGTAATTCTATTGCAATAGAATTTTCTCGAGAAACGTAATTTTTCTTGAATGTCATAAAAATTTGACCGATAACTTGACCCGTCAATGTATTTCCTAGTTCGAATTCATACAATCGAAGCATAAGTATAATATCTGGTGGACATTTATAAACAAATCATGTACAACTCCATTATTTTTCATGTCATATAAATCGTGTGCACGAACATGATGACTAAGAAACGATCGAGCACTAAATGGAAGTATGTTGTACAACGTTTGAAAGAAGTCACAGATTGATATGAGCAATACAAATATTAACTAGAACCAAGGCACTGAAAATACTATTGTTCAATACATTGATCGGTAATACACAATCGGCCCACATTTAATCTGTTCCCAGGGGCGTAACTCTAATTTTTCTGTTTTCATGACCTAAAAAATGAAACCTTTGGAAGCAGGGGGGACGTAAACAGCTCTTTTCCTATTAATTTTC